GTTTATAATAAAAATATAACCATGTTTGATAACAATTTTTTTTAATTAAAAAATATATTTTTGAAACATATGGGTATTATGGAAATGCCACTTGATTTTTTGTTAAGCAAAGAGGATACTATCTCATTTAGACCATTAGGATAGTCCTTGGAGTTTAAGCAACTCGGTGACTACCCTAACCGAAGAAGAGCTCAAAAATAGCACTTTATTAAGCAATTAGGTTACTATCTATGAATAAACTTTAGAATGAGCCTTTAAGCAAAGTGGTTACTCTCTTATAATTAATAAGTAATTTGGATGCTTCCCTAAATTAGAATGAGCTCCTCTTGAGACCTTGACTTTTAAGTAATTAGGAGACCACCTTAATAACATGTATTAAGTAAGCTTATCACACACCAAAAGAATTCCAAGGCACAAAGAAGGCTAAGAACAAAGAACCAAGGTTCTAAGACTCCGAAACAAAAGAAACCCCTATTTTTCTCATGGTAAACCATGACTCAAACTACATTGCTTGGAGTGTAAGAAGTCTTCAATGCAAGTTTCAAAGTACGCCACTTAGAATATATGAAGCCTTGAGCATAAGCATTCAAACTATGTCGTTTGGAATGTAGAAGGCTTGAGCATAGGTTTCTAGACAGCGTCACTTGAAACATATGAAGCCTTAGACGTAGGTTTCAGATTACACCACATGGAACATAATAATCATTTGGTGTAGGTTTCAGATTGTGTCGCAAAGAATTCATTAAGCCTTTGATACATGTTTAGACTTTGTCTCTTGAAACACTTCAAGCCTTTTTAGGATCAAATTCTATTTTTCTTCAATTTTTCATAAAACATGAGATGTTGGTATTTATTTTTAGTTCCCTAGTAGAGAAATACTTTCTAACTGTTTTCTTAATTTCTCCTTCTTTTCTTTTTTGTTTTTAGTCTTTTTAAGCAAAATATGACCACTTAGGATCCATTTTCAACTTCTTTTTATGAAAGATTCATTATCTAATTTCTTAGAACATGCAATTCACTTTGGTATTTATTTTTTCTAACCCAATTAAAGACATTTGTAACAAAATTGATGGAATTTTAATTTACCATGGTTTTGACAGTTAATCATTCTTTGGCCTATTTGATTTACATATCAGGTGGGTATCCTCTAATCAATGGACTCCATGTTTGGGACAAATCTTATAATAAGCAATTGAAAATTCAATTTGCATACAATTGCACATATAATGAAAAGCGCTCGAGCCTAATGGATAAGGTGTCTTACTTGTGGGTTCGAGTCCCACAGTCTTTCTTTCTTTAATGGATTAATAATTATGTTTTTTTTTTTTTTTTTTGAAAGTAGGCTTAAAACTTTACCATCTTAGTTTCTTAAAATTTTGTAGGAGAGAAGATGAGACTTCAAAGAAATAGAAAAAATAAAAAAACTAATTGTAATCTTAAAAAAAAATGATTCGAAGTCATTGACGACACACAAGTTACAAATTTCAGACTCGATTGTCTGTGTCCGACTCAAATCGTGACCTGCACCCTATGTGTCTGACCCAATTTGAGATTCATACCACCTTTACGCATGCGACCGCCTCTGCGCGTATGTAGTCGTGCATGATATTTGTGCATATGTTGGTCCATAACCAACGAGTGATACTTCTTTTTCCATTTGTTTGACCTATATTTGCCTGTATTTTCTCGATTTCGATATTAACCTAATTTTAATGGGAAATTATGTCTAACCAGAAGAATTTTAGAAATTTTTAGCACCTATTCTATGGAAAATCGACCTAGACATGATCACTCACATAAAGTTGTTACTACATAGATGACATGATTAATGTGTACGCAAAATATTCATATAAAATATTTCATAAAAGGTGTCGTGGGCTCCCACGTTCCTAATAAAATCTTTAAAACAATAATGCGAAAACTAAATCATGTGAAGTTTAGATAAAATATTGAAAAATAGAAACATTGACGTGAACTTACTAAGGACTACTAAATAGACATAAATTGTGTCTACCCTACCTCTAGTTCCATGGCTTTCGTCACGGCGTCGCCATCCGACCTTTGTGCCTAACGTTTACCTGAAAAATAAGAGTATTACGTGGTTTAAGTAGTTTAAGAAATACGTAGTAAGTAACTGTACATTTGGTGTCTAGAAATACAAACACATGTGACATGATAGGTTCTAATGGCATTGCCTTAGGTAGCTTTCCAGTTCCGGCAAGGTTGGATGTATAGTACTTTTCTACACACGACCGAACCACGAGCACGAGGACCCACCTGAGGGCTCATGTATTGCCTAGGCCTGTCTCAATGGACTAGCACTCACTAATGTGCTTTCAGACACCATGAAGAGAAAGTGCCTGCGTAACATTGGGACGAACATAATTGTCGTAAGTCGTAAAGTACACATTTGTATTAATCATAATAGAAAAGTATCACGATGCATATGACACACAAAAATTCATGAGGTCCCCATGCCTTAAAATAACAACATAAATTTATAATGCAAGTCAAACCTCCAATTCCATTTATAACGTAATTATGCAGACATAATTCTTATCAAATCTTTCATATCCACGTCCTAACACATCATAGATTATCATCATAATAACATATTATTATACATAGTATAGTCACACTATAGTCTAGCTTATAAACATGGCATAACACGACATTGGATAGCATAACAATCATAATTATGACATGCTCAAGGGAAACACGTATGCATTAAAATACGCAATACAATTTATCTTTGGAGCTAGTCTAATTTGGTGGTGGCTTAATGAGACATTTTGGGATTAATAAAACTTATAATATGTTGCATGAACACTTCTTTTGATCGAAGATGAAGCACGGTGTTCACAAGTTTTGTAGTCAAGAATAATGTTTAGGGATTATGCAAAGCATGTTGCTGGCTTATTCTTTAGGGAAGTAGTAAGATTACATGGAAACCCAAGAATAATTGTTAGAGATACGGATCTTAAACTTTTAAGTCACTTTTGGAATGTATTGTAGGGTAAGTTGGGTACCAAGTTATTGTTTTCAACTACATGTCATCCTCAGACAGAAAGGATAGTTATTATTTCTAAGAATATTAAGTTTTGAGACGAAAGTTTGCATTTGTAGAGAGAGCAATTCATAGTACCACTCATTGTTCTCCTTTTGAAGTTGTTTATGAATTTATTCCACATACGCTTCTTGATTTGTTTCCTATTCTTTTTAATATTTTTTTTTGTGAGTGAAGCAGTAAAAGTAAGACAAATTTGATCAAAGTATTGCACAAAGAGGTGAAGGGTTGCTTCAGGAATTAACAAAGAATGAAAGAAAATTATTTTTCAACGATGACTGGCTTTGGATACATTTTCATAAAGAGCGATTCACATCTCAAAGAAAGACCAAGTTACATCAAAGGGGATGACCCTTGTCAAGTTCTTGTTCTTAAAAGAATTAATAACAATGCCTATAAAATTGATCTTCTCGGAGAAATTTCAGTATGTTCTATTTACAATGTTAATGACTTGACTCCTTTTGATGTAGGTGATAATTTTCGTGATTCGAGGACGAATCCTTTTGAAGAGAGGGAAGATGAACACAGAGCATTATATACTTTCAAATATATGTATATTCTATGTATATCGAACATTATATACTTTTGTTTTAAAATATCCTAAATGCATGTATAAATCATATTCAATAAAACTATATTATTAAAATTTAAAAAGAAACTCATTCATGTTATAATATATGTATTTAAAAATAGTATAGAGGGAATGAATAGTTTAAAAATAGTATAAGATATTGAGGTATGAGAAATTTAAAATATATATAATATATATAAACAAGAAACTAAAATTAGTAATGTAATAAAAGATGAATCCAATTGGAGTCAAACTTACCCATGCTGATTCGCCCAAATCCAAGCTCAGACGACTGGACTCATGAGATTTCGGTTCTATCAACCCATGCACCAAGGAGAACTGGAATGTTGTACAAGATTTAGAAGCGGTAAGTAATTTTAGCATTAATCTCGTGAGTTTTAAAAATATCTAAAACAAAACTTTTCTTTAGGTAATTTTTAAAATTTCTAGTTTAAAGTACATAAACATATTTTTAAAATTTTTACCAATAAATCTATATAATGACTATAATAATATTTTGGGATAATATTTTGGTTATAATGTATTTAAATAAAATATAATTTTCGTAGTGACATAATATTCGATGCCATAAACTTTATTTTAAAATATTTAACCATCTTTTATCATTATTTTCTTAATTTCTTTTTCATTTAAAAAGTGAACTTGATTCTAAATAATGAATGGTAAAGCTTTAAACTTTACTTAAAAGGAATTAATAAAATAAAAAATCAGTTAAGAAAATTAAGAAAGTTTAGGTGACCATCCCACCTTGTTATGGAATATATGTTGTAATAACAAAAATATAACCACCTACCACTCATTTTGGCTATATTTATGTATATATAAGAGATAGAATCCAATTAAGTTTGTAAAAAAGTGTGAACAATCTTGGAGAAGAAAATGAAGTCTCTAAGCATATTTTGTTTAATCGTGTTGATTACCTTGGCATCGAACAATACAATGAAGTTTTGTTTTGCAGAATCTAAGTTACAATTATCGTTCTCTCGATCGAAAGTGACTATTTTAAATGGGATGACTGCTTCAACTTTAATTGTTCATTGCAAGTCAGCAAATGACGATCTGGGAGAGCACGTACTCCGCACTGGAGATAATTACAACTGGAGTTTTAAAGAAAATTTTTGGACTTCTACGTTGTTTTCGTGCCATTTTAGTAGCAAATATGGACAAGTTAATGGAGATGTTTTTTGGCCAGTAAAAGGGTATTGGTTTAATGATCAATGTGATGATAATAATTGCATTTGGGCCGGTCGAGAGGAAGGTATTTACTTATATTTTGGATCTCTCAATATATTCAAGTTAATGTATCATTGGAAATGATGCACTTTAACTTTCATTCAATTTCAATAAATAATTTTATGAATAAAAATGTTTGTTATTTTTTTTTGAGGTTAAAAGGTTCCATTCTAATGAAATTTGATTTTCAAAATTTTAAAACTTATATTATATCTTCAAACTAATTAGTTTGGATAGGATATATAATTTATATATAAAGGATATATAAAGTAGGAAGTTCGATTTAGGAACTTTTAGTGATTGAATAAGGAAAGAGAAGACGACTACTTTAGGTTTGTGTTGCAAGAGAAAAGTTCCAAAATTCTCAAAACTCTAGCTTGGCCACAAATCAAATACAGGAAGTCTTCCTATAACGACTCGAAATTTTCTATTTAATTTCGCTGATGTATACAACCATAAACATTGAATATGTAGAAGACTTCATTTAAATTCCATCAAACATCATGAGTGGACTTGTTGGGATATGGAGAGATTTGCTACACATATATTTGGAAGATATTTACTAAAGTTGTTGGGATAGGGAAAGATGTGAGAGATATATTTGGAAGATATTTGATAAAGATAGGATAGAGATATATTTGGAAGATATTTCATAAAGATAGGATAGAGATATATATGGGAGATAATTGGTAAAGATTGGATAGAGATATATTTGTTAGATTATATGTTTGTTAAATCTTTGGTAAACATCCTATTCTAGCCTAAGTCTAAAAAAATAAATACCACTATCCTATGCATGTGTCATGGTCTCGAGTTGCGATGTCGTCGTCAACTATACAGGAATACCTTGCCTTAACTTGGAAAATGTAGTAGCACATGACTTGAGTATTCTTGAGTATTTAAAAAAATACTTAGTAAGTGACCCCACTATGGGGGTTAAATGCAAGAACATACGAATGCAATGACGGGACCTATCCTTTCAATCTATTTACATACAGTATTGTCCTAACGGGTAATTTGGACGTGTACCATATACTCTACACACAGCCTGTACGCTGACTAGTCAATTCGCACACTGCTGGGCAACTTTCCTTGTTGGGCGAGCATACTCTAGGAGTTCCATAGGCTAGATACCCATTAGAACTAGTAACCGTCATGGCAGCGCTATGCAAAACATAACGATCGTTGTCCTGTCATTAGATGTATGCGTCCGTACCCTCTGATGGAATAGGGGTATCCCCAAATGCATGAGCACACATAATTGTGGGTCCATACTCGCACGTATGGGGCCATGTTTATAGTATATGGTACACATCCAATCAACCCGTTAGGATAGTATAATAGGAAAATAGACTGTAATGATAGGTCGCATGTTCTTGCATTCGCATGTTCTTGCATCATAACCTCGATAGGGGGTCGTTTACTGAGTATTCTTAAAACACTCAAGCCTTGCTACTATATTTTTCACATAATGGCAAGGCGCCTCTATAAGACTAACGGAAGCTTCACAACCACGAGTTTGTGACACATGCATAGGATACTTTCGCATAATAATTTAATAGTATAGGTTAGTATATGTTGAGTAGTATTTAAATCTGACAATATTATAGATTAGCATAGGCTAAATTGTGAAACGTTATGTTGAAAGCATGAAAATGTGACGTCATGTCTTGTTAATTGCATGTATAGAATGATACGAATGACATGAAGAACGATAAATAACATGAAATATAATCCCGATACAAGCATGAACGATATGATAACTGATATGAGAAATGGTATGATATCAATGAAATGACAGCGGGGGATATATTTAATAATGTTGAAAATGGAAAAATATTGGGACCTCATGCATTCATGTGTGCTCATGCATTCGGGGATACCCGTATTCCTTCACGATAGTATGGGTGCGTACAACACAAGGCAGGATAACTTCCATCGCGTTTTAAGTAATGCTGCCGTGACGGCTACTGTTTCTAATGGGTATCCGGCATAGAGAGCTACCAGAGCATGCTCGCCCGCCAAGGAAAGGGGCCAGGGGTGTGCGAACCGACTCGTGGGTCCATACTCGCACGTATGGGCCATGTGTATAGTATATGGTACACATCCAAGCTACCTGTTAGGATAGTACCATTGGAAAATAGACTGTAATGCTAGGTCTCGTGATTGCATTCGCATGTTCTTGCATCGTAACCTCGATAGGGGGTCGTTTACTGATGTATTCTTCAAACACTCAAGCCTCGTGCTACTATATTTTTCACATAATGGCAAGGCGTCCCTATAAGACTGACGGAGGCTTCGCAACCACAAGTTCGTGACACATGCATAGGATACTTTCGCATGATAATTTAATAGTATATGTTGAGTAGTATTTTTATTTGACAATATTATAGATTAGTATAGGCTAAATTGTATTTGCAGTTTACAATAGTATAGATGAGTGTGGTCAGAGTTGTATTTGCATTTAATAAACTATAGGTTGATATGTATTTGTATTTAATAAAGTTTAGGTCGAGTTGTATTTTCATTTAATAAAGTATAAGTTAGTATAGGTTCAGTTGTATTTATAATTATTAGGTCATTGGTTAGTATAGGGCATTTAATTCAATAATGTTTTTCATTTTTTCTTCGTAATTGTTTATTACCGAGGTAATAAATGAGGTACGAAGTTAATGTGGAATTTATAATAAGGGTTCATTAAAGTAATTGCGCATTAAATATCGGGTTAAATCTGAAGTAATGGTGTTAGGTTAAACAGAAAAGTTTAGGGTGGAAGTCTCTCCTTAAAGATGCGATTTAAAACTGTGAAGCAAACGATATTGCATAACGTGCCAAAGTGGACAAAGCGTACAATATCGACTAGCGAAGAATTTGGATATTTGAACATTCGACCACGCCCTCTAAATTTTGATTTTGTTTCGTCACTCTCATTCCTGTTAATCATATCTATTTTTTTTTTCCTTGTTTAGAGGTT